GGGGCCGCGGGCCGGAGGTCAGACCCGCCCCCCTCCCCAGGGAGCGTCGCCCGCAGCTGCCCCACACCCGAGCTGACACCCAGATGTCCAGGGGGAGTCGATGACCGCCAGTGCGGGTGACTCTTCCCATCTGGGTCCCCTGACATCTCCTCCTCGCTCTCCACCTTACCTGCCCTCCGCAGAGAACCTTCCAGAACCCACCCATCCACTTGGCATGTGGTCGGGCCGGACATCTAAGGCCCTCCCGGCTTTGCGCCGCCATTAACCTTAAAAGAGCCCCGGGTACTTGAGTTAGAGAGGAGACATGTCTGGATGGTCCTCAAACTCTAGGAAGAATGAGGAGATGGGAAAGTGTGTGTGTGTGTGTGTGTGTGTGTGTGTAACTGTCTACCATAGCCACCTAGATGGCACTAACGCAGTCATGACTGGAAGATAGGTGTCAAGTGATGTCCTGGAGTAGCTGGTGCCAAGTTCCTGGCTGCTCAGGCAGGTAGGACCCCCCCATCCCCAGAAGAGGTGGGTTGCACTCTAGCTGAGATGGAGTGGATAATAAGCTTCAGACCCCCCCACGCCCCAACGCCTTGTCTCCCCTCTCCCGCAGGTGCTGGGCCTTGTGCGTGTCCCCCTGTATACGCTGCAGGACGGCGTGGGCGGCCTGCCTGCCTTCCTGGAGAATTCTTTTATCGGCGCAGCGCGGGAGCAGCTACTAGAAGCCCTGGAAGACCTGGAGCTCTTGGAACCTGGCGCCATCTCACACCTCAAGACCCGAACACCTCCTCAGTAGAAGAAATCTTCCGCAGACAAGGAACCTGAGATCAGGACTTTGGTACTTTGGAGGAAGGGAGGGAGGGAGAGAAGAAGGGAAAGGGGGAAGATTTTTCTCTTGGGGGCCTGTGGGATGATGGATCATCATTTTTTAAGGGAAGGGGGAATAGGTTTTGAGTTGAGGTCCAACCAGAAGATGGGCTCCGTGACCTGGGGACAAAAATCCACAGCTCATCCCAGGCCTCGGAAGTTTTCTGAGTCAGCCTCTCGTGTACACACTACCTGGCAGCCTCAGGCATGCGCAATACAACCACACACGCACACAGCCTGACACTTCCCCTCACTGTGTCCAAAGTAACCAGGATGTGGGATTGTGATGATCCTGGTTTTCTGGAGCCATGGGAGTCTCCCCCCACCCCCCACCAGCCCCAAGCTTGTTGGGATTGAGCCCAGGAAGGGGCTCCCCCACGTGGGAGGCCCCAATCATTCCCAGCCCTTTTCTTCCTCTGCAGTTAAGCTTACAGGGACCAGAGGTGGCCCGTGTTCCTACCCGGAAGCCTCTTGAGTCCTAGAGCCTCTGCCCCAGGGCTTCATCTCCGAGCTGCCCTGGTTGCTGGGGAAGCAGCCCTACCGGCTCTGCCTGGCCCGCCCACCCAGGGCCTCCCAATGAAGAAGCTTCCCAAGCTGGCCTTCCGCCCCTCCCCTTCTCTCAGCTGATATGCCTTATGCATCTCCTAATGCTCCCTGGCCAGAGCTTAGCCAGGCCCCTTGCTTTCCATAGGCTTCGGAGCAGGTGGTGGGCACATCGCTTCTTAAAGATCTGGACAGGAAATATTTCAGACTACGGAGGCCACATAGCTTCGGTGCAAACCCTTAACTCTGACATGTCAAAATTTACCCCACAATACATAAGTCTGTGCCTTGTGTCCCAACAAAACAGGAATACGGCCTTTGGGCCATAGTTTACTAACCGCTACTCTGAGAGGATGAGGGTAATAATATTGGTGACGCCACCTTACTTGAACGTGTTCCCAGGAAATAAACGAGGAGCTGATACAGTCCCGCGTGGGTATTTTGAGTGGGGTTGTACGGAAGCCCATCCTTGGGCAACGTGTTAAGCTGAAAGATGAGAAAGAAGGAAGCTTTAGGTGCAAGCCCTTCTGTGGGAAGAACCTTGGAAAACATCCCAAAGTGCGTGGCCTAACCCAAAAACCCTACTGGGTCTCAAGAGTTGCATTTAGAGGGTTTAAACAACCTTGCTCTAGTCCTTGACAGGTGAAATGCCAGCCTACCAGCCTGGATATCTAGGACCTGAAAATACTATCAGTGATGATAATAGTCAACATCTTGCAGGTGCTCAATATGCTGGCACTGTCTGAGATGCTACACACACACACACAACCCTCAGAATGGCTTTATGAAGTAGAGCTAGTGTCTCCATTGTCCAAATTAAAAAAAAAAAGACCCAAGATCAGCAATATAATTATAATGCTTTGCCAGAAAGACAGCAATCTCTGTAAATTCAAGGAACCTTACCTTTAGCTGACCCTGGAAATCTGCCCTGGGCCTTCCCTCTTCAGTAAGGCCGCACATGGTGATACATGCCTATAATCCCAGCATTTGGGAGACTAAGCTAGAAAGACATATACTAGAGTTCAAGGTCGACAAGACCGTTTCAAAATAACAGCCAAAGCAACAACAACAACAAAAATCAAAGACAAAATCAGGGGATATAGTTTAATAATATTGCCTAGCATGAAGAGGACCCTGAAAAAAATAAACCACCTCAGTGAATCCTCTTTAATCTTTTATTGTCCTCTTGAAATTACAGGCTGCACATGCAGTATTGTCTGGCTAGGTGATAAAGAAGGTGTAGCTCAGTCTTGGTAGTTCAAACCCCAGTAATGCCAATAAATAAAACTACTGAGATTCCTTTGTCAGTCTTGGGGCTTGAACTCAAGGCCTGGGCACTGTCCCTGAGCTCTATTTGCTCAAGGCTAGCGTTCTACACTTCGAGCCACATTGCCACTTCTAGTTTTCCCGGTGGTACACTGGAGATAAGAGTCTCCTGGACTTTCCTGCCAGGGTTGGCCTTGAACTGCAATCCTCAAGGCTCAGCCTCCTGAGTAGCTAGGATGCCAGGCGAGAGCCACCAACACCAGTTAATTTCCTTTTTTTCTCTTTCATACGAAGGCTTTTAGCCAATACATGTATTCTTTGGTTTAAAAAGAGACTAGTTATAAATGCAAAAGGAATTACTTTTTCCTTCCTGAGTTTTACAGAAATAAGCATAAAAAATAAACATAACAACAAAAAGGAGAGGGTTCAGGGAGCAGACTTAGGCCTCATCCTAGCAAGAACACAGAGCGTCTCTGGTGCCAACAGAAGATCTGCTGTCCAAACAAATCTCTTCCTTAGTGGCCCATAAAATACTAATGCAGGGCTGGGAAGGTGGCTCAGTGGTAGAGTGCTTGCCTAGCATGCGTGAAGCCCCGGGTTCCATTCCTCAGCACCACATACACAGAAAAAGTCAGAAGTGGCGCTGTGGCTCAGGTGGTAGAGTGCTCGCCTTGAGCCAAAGAAGCCAAAGGGACAGTGCTCAGGGCCCCGAGTTCAAGCCCCAGGACTAGCAAAAAAAAAATAATAACAATGCATGTTACCATCAGTGATGTGGTAGCGTGGGGGAGGGGGAGGGGAAGCCTTGTCCTTTACTTCAAAGGCTCCCACATTGACTTCTAAGAAATAGCGCCTGGGTGCCAGCAACGCCCTGAGACACGAGTCAGAGACACAGCCACCAGCCACCGCCCTACTGACGCAACCCAGACGCCAGGCCGGAGTCCTGGCAGGACCAAGCCATACTGGGTGGAGAAGCAAGTGACGCTGTGGCCTGCAGCAGAATGTGGGGCGTGCTGGGTGAGGCCTCAGGCTGGTAAGTATATGCCCCCTCCCACCATCCATTTGAAGGACCTTTTGGAAGGACTCCAAAGCTATGGCTGAATGAGGGAGGAAAACCCTAGAGAAGCTGAGCGTCGGTGGCTCATGCCTGTCATCCCAGCTACTCAGAAGGCTCAGATCTAAGGATTAGTGGTTCAAAGCCAGCCCAGGCAGGAAACTCTGAGACTCTTATCTCCAATGAACCACCAGAAAACCAGAAGTGGTGCTGTGGCTGAAGTGGTAGAGTACTAGCCTTGAGCTGAAGAGCTGAGGGACAGCACCCAGGCCTAGAGTTCAAGCCCCAGGACTGACCAAAAAAAAAACAAAAGATCCATTTCAGACACTAAATTCATTTGCTCATTTCCCAAACTAGGCTCTGTTGAGGTGCTTCTAAATGGTGTGTGTGGGGGGAGGGGGTGGAGAGGGACGACAAAATGACACACTAAAAAGGACTGGACAGGAGGTCTCCAAGGATTTTTGTTCCCAGACTGCCGGAGGAAAAAAAAAAAGTCTTCGTTAGGGACATATTGATGATTCTTGGTTTTTTGGGTCGGTCGTGGGGCTTGAACTCTGGACCTGAACGCTGTCCCTCAGCTCTTCAGCTCTACCTCTTGAACCACCTTCCCAACCCTAAACATTTTAAACGATAGTATTTGAACTAACTACTTGGGTATATCTCAAAGATTAGAATTTGCGGAAATAAAGTATAAGCTGAAAAAAACTCCATAACTCTGAAATGCTTTAGTTTGATACCAAAACCTTTCTTTGTGTGTGTTGGGGGGGTGGGGGCTTGAACTCAGGGCCCGGGTACTGTCCCCTAGCTTTTTTTGCCCAGGGCTGGCACTTTGCCACTTGAGTCATAGCTCCAGATCTGGTTTTCGGTTAATTGGCAATAAGAGTCTCACGGACTTGCCTGCCCAGGCTGCCTGCAAACCTCGGTCCTCAGATGTCAGCTAGGATTGCAGGTGTGAGCCGCTGGTACCTGGCTGGCTTGGTGGCTGTTACTCATGCATCCTTGTGGCTTGTTTGGCCAAGACCGGATACGCTCAACTCTGAGTGTGTGTATAGACGGATGGATGGTATCTCCATTACATATATATATGTGGATGGCATATATGTATATTATATATGTGCTTATAGTATAATGGATGATATATATGTATATTATATATCCTTATATATATGAATGGATATCTCAGTTATATATAGATGGTATATATATTACATGTAATTATATATTTTATATATAAATTATATAGTATATTCCACCATGTATTTATATATTTACATTATTTGATACATATCACCATATATATATATAAATATATTGCAGACATAACTCCTGAGAACCATAATGCTCAATCTAGGACTGGAATGCAACCATGTGACACTAAAAGATGATGAACGGGATGGGGGGTGGTCTGGAAAGGTGGCTCAATGGTAGAGCATTTGCTTAGTGTGCATGAAGCCCTGGGTTCGATTCCTCAGCGCCACGTACACAGAAAAAGCCAGAAGTGGCTCAAGTGGTAGTGCTAGCCTTGAGCCAAAGAAGCTCAGGGACAGCGCCCAGGCCCTGAGTTCAAGCCCAGGCCTGGCCAAAAAAAAAGAATGTTATAATTACCATTTGTTGGGGGGGAAAAAAGAGCTTACAGCCAAACCAAAAGCATAAGGAAAACAAAACAAGAAGCACTGCAGGGGTGGTGGCAGCTAGTGAAGATGGCCTTCGTGCTGTCTCTGGCTTTTCATTGGGCAAAGCGCCGGTCTCCGCGTGCACTGATGAGACGCTGCCTTTGCTTCCTGTGAGAGAAACGGGAACAGCTGCGTGCTGTTTGGCAGCAGGTTCTTGGAGGAGAAGCCGCGCAGGCCGGGGCGTGGGGGGGCGGGGCGTGGGCTCCTGGCACACACAGGTCAGGAGTGTGACCAGACAGGACGGCCACGAGAGATGGCGGCCACGCGGGAGGCAGCCAAGGTCATGCACGGAGCCGGGCCGTGGGTCTGCGGGTCTGCAGGCCGCAGGAGACGTCTCCCCCTCCTGCCCTCTCTCTGCTCTGTCCTCCACCCCTTCTCAGCCTGGGCACATGGCAAGTTCAAGGACAGGAAGGGGGGCTGTGTGGCTCCCGGACCCCAGGTTCCAGCTGTTAGAGCAAGACGGACGTTTCTGGTATTTTCTGGCACTCAGAGGTGAGTGATAGTCTGGCGCCGGTGGCTCACACGAGTCATCCTAGCTACTAAAGGTTGAGATCTGAGGATCACGGTTCAATGTCAGCCAGGGTAGGAAAGTCTGTGAGACTCTTATCTCTGATGAACCACCAGAAAACCAGAAGTGGCGCTGTGGCTCAAGTGGTAGAGCGTCAGCCTTGTGCTGAAGAGCTGAGGGACAGCGCCTGGGCCCAGAGTTCAAGCCCCACGACTGGCCAAAATAAAGAAGTGAGCAGTAGAGAGCCTGGCCACTGCAGTGTAGGGAATGAAGGCTTTGATCTCCACCACTGTGCGTGTGCCTTCATTTCCCTTCCCCAGACTTGTACCTTAGGCTTCAGAGAGGCCAGAATTTCCAGCTCGTTTGCAAAGCAGAGCTTTAGTGTGACAATACCTCCCCACCCCCCCACAGTAACCCTTGGCACAGAGTTTTGTTGGACAGGATCTTCTGTCACCATCCACCATAACGTGGCATTGTCCACGTTACAAATCGCTGAGTTCCTGTGTGGGGAATCGCTGAGTTCCTGTGTGGGGAATCGCTGAGTTCCTGTGTGGGGAATCGCCTTGTCTGGGCGTGGCAAAGTGAGTACACTTGAGTTTTAAACTATTCTTTTTTTGGTAAAATATATTTTAAAATATATTGGAACACATTGGGCTGGGCAGGTGGCTCAGTGGTAGAGTGCTTGCCTAGCATGCATGAAGCCCTGGATTGCATTCTTCAGCACCTCATATACAGAAAAAGCCAGGAGTGACGCTGTGGCTCAAGTGGTAGAGCGCTCACTTTGAGCAAAAAGAAGCTCAGGGACAGTTTCCAGGCCCTGAGTTCAAGCCCCAGGACTGGCAAAAAAAGAAAAAAGCAGCTGGAACACATTCGTGATGTTGGTGGTGGTCCTCTACATTTATTTCAGTGCTTGCTTGGAAAGAAATCACTTGTTTGAACTGTGAATGGTTGACCCACACTGGAGACCATGTTTATCTGATCTTCACCCAAGTGCCTGGTGCCTTGAGTCTTTAGAAAGCAGGTTGAGCCAATCAGGCCTATTATTGTTTGTTTTGGTCCATTGTGGGGCTTGAACTCTGGGCCTGGGCGCTGTCCCTCAGTTCTTCAGCTCAAGGCGAGCGCTCTACCACTTGAGCCACAGTGCCACTTCTGGTTTTCTGGTTGTTTATTGGAGATGTGAGTGTCACAGACTTTCCTGCCCAGGCTGGCTTTGAACCTCAAGCCTCAGATTTCAGCCTCCTGAGTGGCTGGGCTGACAGGTGTGAGCCACAGGTGCCTGGCTGGTTGGAGTCTTTTTAATTTGTTGTTGCTCCGAGAAAGGGAGAGAAAAGAGAGCAGAGAGGTGAGATCTGAACTCAGGGCTCAGGCTCCTTCTCTGTGCCTGGCTGGTTCACCTGCCATCTTCTCCCTGGTAAGTCTTCTGCCCAGCCCAAGACAGGAAGGAAAGTGGGGTGTGGGTCCCTCATACTGAGAGACCTGGGGGCTGGTTTTGCAGCCATTTGCGCCGCCCCCTTGTTACAGGCTGCAGGTGGCTTAGCTGGTTTCACTGTGGGAAGTGGGGGTGGAGATCGGGGGTGGGGGTCTCGTCCCCACATCCCTGTTCTTGTCCCTGCTGGGGGGGGCGATCCTTTGTGAGCTGTCCCCAACTGGCTGACAGGTGTTGGTTCCCCTGACCCCGCCCGCTCCGAGCACAAGCCTGGCCCAGCTCCCCAGGGCCCCCGGGGATCTTCTAGGCCAGGAGGAGCCAGCGCAAAGCAGGGACCAGCCAAGGTCCAGAGCCGTTCCCTCCCTGCCGCCTCCTTAGACAAACACACATGCGCACCCGGCATCCGTGCAGCCCACACACCACACCTGTCTCTCTTCCCCTCTCCATCTCCTTCCTCTTATCTCCCCTTCCCTCCCCTCCCCCTCCTCTCCTTCCTACTCAGCGTTCAAACCTCTCCACTCTGATGTTGATTGAGGAGACAGCCCCAATGGCTTCGTGATGACTCTCCCACAGCAGCAGCTAGTGTGCCCTGGTGTGTGTGCGTGTGTGCGTGTGTGTGCGTGCGCGCGTGCGTGCGTGCGTGTGTCCTGGGGCTTGACATAAACTAGACTTTTTTTTTTTTTTTTTTGGCTCAAGGCTAACACTACCTCTGGAGCCCCAGCTCAGCTTTGGGCTTTTTGCTGCAGGTAAGTGTCACAGCCTTTCCTGTCCAGGCTGGCTTTGAACCACGAGTCTCAGGTCTCAGCCTCCCCTGACAGGCGTGAGCCACCAACACTGAGCTTCTAGTATTTCGGGGGGGGGGCACGGGGGAAAGTCAGTCGTGGGGCTTGAACTCTGGGCCTGGGCGCTGCCCCTCAGCTCTTCAGCTCAAGGCGAGCGCTGTTGCACTTGAGCCACAGCGCCACTTCCGGTTTTCTGGTGGTTAACTGGAGATAAGAGTCTCTCAGACTTCCTGCCTAGGTGGCTTTGAACCGTGATCCTCAAATCTCAACCTCCTAAGCAGCTAGGATGACAGGTGTGAGTCACCAGCGCCTGACAATATAAAGGCTTTTTCTTGTCAGTGGTGGGGCTTGAACTCTGGGCGTGGGTTCTTTTGCTCAAGGCTAGCTCTCTACCAGTCGATCCACAGCTACACGTCTGGTTTTCTGGTGGTTCATTGGGAAGAAGTGTCTCAGACTTTTCCTGCTTAGCCCGGCTTTGAACCCTGATCCTCAGATCTCAGCCTCCTGAGCAGCCAGGATGAGAGGCGTGAGCCCCCGGCACCCGCTGTAGAATAGATTTTACACAGGAGAGCTTTTCTTTATTATTGTTTTACAGAGCTATTTTCTTCCTAGGCTGATTCATGGCTGCTTTTGGGAATCGGCCTCCCTCGTGGGGCCTTGGCTGTACTCGAGCTTTTTGGCAGGAGTCTGGTTGCTGTTGGTAACTTTTCAGGGCGGAGCAGGCTAGCGGATCCTCAAGGTAGGGCATCGGGCGGGGGCTTCATGGCGGGCAGGAGAAAATGGGCCGGCCAGCCACGCTGCTGGCTGCCACGTTTGCTTCCTCACAGAAACACAAACCCTATTTTAGATAGGGAAAGCTATGTCAGGAAGCCATTTATTGTTCCTTTTTGGCCCACTAGTACAAGTCATCAATGAAATCTCTGTCCGGGTCTTGGGTCATGGAGTGTTTAATCAGTTTCTGCCCCAAGAGAAAACATCCCCTGAGACCATGTCTTACCCCTTCAAAACCACACACTTCTTGTTGGGCAGCGGTGGCTCACGCCTGTAATCCTAGCTACTCAGGAGGCTGAGGTATGGAGGATTGTGGTTGGAGGCCAGCCCAGGAAGGAAAGTTGATGAGCCTGTTGTTATGTTGGTTTTTGGAGACTGCGTCTTGCTGGGGATCCACGGCCAGGCTTGAATGTGGTCATGTGTCCCAGCCTGGCCCCAAGCTGGAAACCCTCCTGCTTTGGCCTCCAGAGGTCTTGGATTATGGATTACAGGCATGCGCCATCACGAGCAGCTACCAGATGGACGGAGGCCCCTGTGATGCTGTAAGGTTCAGTATCTCCCTCCCGCCCCCCACCTCTGCTGCCCCCCCATTTTCTCATCTGTAGCTGGTGCCAAGGATGCTGGAACGGTGTGGTTTGGGCGAGTGTGTGCTTCCACAGCACGTGAACGAGCTGGGTCACGCACTATTGTAACTCACACACACAGCGTGCATTTTTTCCACACATGTGGACCATGATTTTATTTCACCCACACCTGGCTTTCTCCCAAGACACCGACACACACACACCGACACAGGCAGTAGGAACTAAACATGGCAAAACTTAGGGATTGCAGAGTGTAAAAAATAGTAACGAGGGCCACCGATGCGTTTGCTCGTCGCCAAGCCGTCCACGCTGGGGTGTGGCTGCGGTGGAGGCC